CGCATTTGACCGAACCTAAAGATGCTTCCATAAGCGTATATATACTTCAAGAACTGTTGAAACAACAATCTGAATAATTAGATATGGTCTGAGCTCATTGAAAGCCTAATTAAAACGGCATCAACAGTTTACAATAAAACAGACATACTCATAATAGCAAAATTAATAAATTGAAATTTTAGTTTTATTTCACTAAAGAATCTTGTCTAAAAAAAAAAACAGAATTAAATTCGAATTTCATTTTTTACGATCATAGTATATTATTAATATATTTGTTTTCGTTTAAGCTCGTGTATCAGTTCGATTATTAAATCGTGAAGAAGCTTTAAGTGTATGTGTAATAACATTTGCTGATGATCTATCAACACCATATATTGCTATTGGTACAGCAATTATATTTGAAGATGAAGATACACCAAAAATTGGTCGTATACTACTATTTCGTTATAAAAATGGTCATTTAAATATGATTACAGAAAAAGAATTAAATGGTGCACCACATGCAATGTTAGCATTTCAAGGCAAACTTCTTGTTGCTGTTGGAAGTTCTGTAAGAAAACAAAACAAAAAAAAAATTCTTCTTTTTTTTTAATATTAAAATTTAGATTCGTCTATATAAATTGTCATCACAAACTCATGAATTAACACAATTAACACAATATTTAGGACATATTGATTGTTTACAAGTAAAAATAAAAGATGATTTTGTTTTATTTAATGATTTAATGAAATCAATAACTGTATTACGTTATAATGTTGATGATGGAAAATTTGAAGAAGTAAATAGAGATTTAAAAAAAACTAAGTTATTTAGTTTATAAAAACATAAAAATGAAATTTCTTTATTAGATTGCTCATGATGTTCATCCACAATGGTCAACAGCATGTGAATTTTTTGATGATGATACATTTATTTGTGCTGAAGATGGAGGAAATTTAATATCGTGTCATAAAGATAGTGGTTCAACAAAAGAAAATGAAAGAAATATATTGAAAGAACTTGGATTATGTCATTTGGGAGAAAATATTAATGTATTTCGACATGGTAAAAGAATTTTTATTTATACTAATATAGAAATTCGAAGAATTGTTTAAAAATAATATGAATGTAATTATTATCGATGTCATAATATAGGACAGACCCATCGGGTTGGTTCTGGAGAATGGATGGAAAAAGAACGAAAAGAAAAATATCGAAGGCGAAGAAGTAGAAAAGAAAGCATTAATATTAAGCTACCGTTTTAGTGCGACAAATAAAACATTAACGTTTTAGTAGTATTGCCCTCTTTTGTATTTCTACTTCTGAAATGTGGAACATACACCAAGTGTTGAAATAAATCCATTTTCAAAGCGTTTTATTCACGAATACCGTAGTATTCCAAGACGAATCAGTTGGTTTCACTTGCTGCAGACAAAATGACTACTTTTTCTAATCGGATCAGTTTTGTTTAGCAAAAAAAATCCTTTTTGATGATGAGCCGAGTTCATATTAAAACGAAACAAAAACATCAAATACAACAGATTACTGTCGATATGAGAACAGGAAATATGTTTCAAATTTAAATAAGTGTATATATAGAATCCTAGAGACTAGCAAATTGAATCTGAGGAAATGAAAATTCGAACGTTGTAAGAACAATACAAGAATGTGTTAAAGAGATTTTCCTAATATCCAAGTATTCAACGTGGACTCGTTAAGCTCATATTTGAGACAACAGTCTATCACATTTCAACCGCCATGGACCGAAATAGATAATTACAAATTTTTGGCTTTGATTGAGGAATTATTCACACTTATTTATTGAATAATGCAAAGCAGTTTCAAATACCTATCACCTTCAACTCCCTACTTTTTGAAATGCCAGAAACTTGCAAAATAACATAAACTATTTTCCATTCACGCAACGAAAGCTATTATATCTATGCTCACGATACTATAGATACAATTTCATTATGTTTTTTGCTATAAATATTGACTTTCAGAACACCGAAGTCTTCAATGGTCAATTAGTATATAAACCATTGAAGAGGAGTGCCATGCATTGACGCACATTTTCCCTTATTCAGTAGTCTTATTTCCAATACTATTCACTTTCAATTAATATAAAAATAATATCTTTTTGATCCAACACACTCCTTTTTCAATACTTTTCTTTCGATATTTTTCCATTCGATGATTTTCCTTTCGACATTTTTCTTTTCTTTCTTTTTCCATCATACCAATTCAACTACTGATTTGTTAGAAACTGTGGCCATTTTCTTGTTTGATTATATCTTGTTTGCAATTTCTCGAGACACATCCTTCAGTTCAGTAGCAACTTTTCACTTAAAACTCTCAAATAAAACTAGATGAAGCGAAAAATTTTAATTTAAA